AGGGGGGGGGGGGGGGGTCGTGTTTCGTCGTGGGGTGTGTATTATGCGGATGTGTGAGGGTGCTTCCGGGGGAGGCTTGTCTGTGTATGGTGCTCTGCTGCGTGCTTTGCCTTTGGTCGTTGGACGAATCGATCAATCCGTTCTTCATCTCTTGCGCACCAAAACAGCAGTACAGTACAAAGTGATCAATTTCGCTTTCACGAGCCGGTTTCAATAATAATCATCGAGTGCGCTCGTGTGTGTGTGTGTGTGTGTGTTTTTGGCCACCAAGTGCCGAGCACTCTGTGGGTGCCCCAAACCCCGAACACCCGATCATCCTCTCACCCTTCACCTTATCCCTCCAAACCGCTACGGGACGCCACGCCGACCCCTTTGCAGTTTTTATTTCCCGCTATGACTACTCTTCTCCCGCCCCCCCCTAGAAAGCGCCGTCCTGATTGTAACAGTCGCCGTCTCGCGCCTCTCCCGCTTCCCCCCATCTCTAGCCGGAGCTGTACGGCTCCGCGGGCAAGGGGTTGTACGACCCTCCCTCGCTCTCACGGAGCCCCCTGTACTTTTCCATCTACGCGGAGGGCGGGCTTACCATGAGGTGCGTTACCTCACGGGGAAAAAGGGGTATTTTGACAACCGACCGTCTTGCAGGCTATGATTCAACAGTCGGATGATGGATGTTTCGATGCGGAGCGGGAGGAGGGTCGAGCTCATGTTTTTCATGCCTTAGCGGTTAGACCATTGACCACGTGTCCTTTCCTACTTTGCCAAAGGTAGGGCGCGGGGGGGGGATTTGTGGAGTTACGATACAGCCGCCGTGTGCCGCCGCGTTGACATTACCGCCAACATGCACCTGTTAGGACGACCGCGAGGAGAGCGATGTACTTCCTTCCGACCGTGCTTTTTTCTCGCGGATGGTTGTTCTTGCAGTCACCCAGGTTTCCCTTCATGAAAAGGCGGCGGGCGATCGGGGATCGGGGGGTTGGTTGGTTTGATCTCTTTGGAATTGGACGGCCGGAAGCATGACATGATGTAGTAGTACCTCAAAGCTGATATAGTCTCCGCCCGGAAAGTTGTGACGTGGCAAACGATGTTTGAATGTCTAGCGTGATCAAAACCTGCGTTTTCAATAACGGTGAGGTGTTCTACTAGCAAGAACGGCTCCCCGAACCCTTGCGAGGAGCAAAAAGGCAGGGGAAACAAGGGCGGTTGCCCCTTGTCTTCGCAGTTCTCATAGCATAGCCGGGGGATGATAGGCCGTCCATGAGGACACTCTCACAGATGCAGTAGACGATGACATGCACACGCATGACACGATGCCGGTCGAACTCGCCCGGAACCGAACCGTTTTTGTCGCTCCGCTTGCCATCCAAAGTGTCCCACATGGACACACACACACCCAATCAGAAGACGTTCCTGGAGCGCTAACACCGATTGTTTATCCCTCGAGTACAAGTGCCTGAACGTTTCTCGGTGTTCCCCGTGTTGTCGCACGATTTGGCTCGGTTCGGCAGGTTCCCCCTGCGGGTGGAGGAGGGGCAAGGGGGCGTGTTCTCCGTAGATTGGACCGCTGGGAGCAGGCGGTATCAGGCGGACAGGGTGTTCGATGTCCTAGACGGCAGTCTCCGCCGGCTAGAGGTGACGGAGATCGGAACGCAGGATGCCGAGGTGTTTTTGCCCATGGAGAAGTTCTGATTTTTGGTCTGCATGTTAGGTGGTGCATGGTTTTTGAGTCTTGTGTGTTGCTCTGTGGTGTTCGATGGAGGGAGACAGAGAGAGAGAAGTGGCGGGAGAAGCTTTACATTTCCATGACGAATTGTGATAAAAAGTACAATGTACTCTAGGCTCATGGAGAATTCCTGTGTTTTTTTTTACGAAATGCAAAACGCGTAAGGGGAAGGGAGATGTGTGGGAGAGTTTTGCTTGTTTCACGAAAACGATAATAACAACGTGGGGCGTTGCTTGAACCGCCCCTCCGTCATAGGCTGTTTGGATTTTCTCTCGATGTTGGTTGACAACCAGCCAGACGTAACGCAGCCGTCACAGATCGTGTTCCCGTTACCCGTGCATCGAAAGGAGAGCGTGTCCCGGAACTGTTTCTCGCTCTTTATGGTGGTGATGGTGGTGGTAGTTGTGTGGCAGAGGGAGGGGAATGGGGATGGAACAAAGGTCGACAGTCGGGAGGAAAAAGGAGTTTACGTGTTTCATCTCGTTTTTGTAGGGGTACTTGCCGGGCAAGACCATGCTCTCGGTGACCTATAACCTTTAAGAAGTGGTTTTTGGCCTAGGGTGTTGTTTCTTGTGGTGTTGTCGTTGCATGAGAAAAAAACGCTTCTCTAACCGCTTGGCAGAAAGCACCCTCGTTTTTCCGGACCCTTTGAGAGGCCAACACACGAACTTCCACGCTCTCACAAGCTGTGAAAGTCCATAACTCGGCACACACGCACACACGTGGAGGTTAACAAGATCCGAAGAACGTGCCACCTCTCTCTCGCCAAGAAACGATCATGCTACTTGCAAGTGACACCGCCAAAGAAGTACGTGCTTGCGAGCCGCGACCAAACGAGAGGCGGGGCTGAGGAGCTTCAAAACGCATGTATGCGGAGCTGAGAGGGTTTGTTTGTGAGTTGGAAGTGACAGGGGAACTAGGGGAGCATGATTGAGATCTTGCACCCGTCAGTGAAGGCGAGTACGAAGAATCCGCCTCCTGATTCCGCCGTATTGGTGGCGACCCTGAGTTAGACGCGGGACTTTCCTACCCAGGAACACCCTTTTCATCGTTACGCCGTCGACCGAGTGACCAGCTACAATAGGAAAGGAGTGCAAAAGTTTCGGGGACGACAACCACTACCAGGCCCCAACCACATTGCGAGGGACAACAACAACAGCCGCAAATGATTACAATGAGGAACGTGTTGTCGCCTGGCCGTCAGTATCTCACTCGCCATCATACAGGTTGCCTTTCGTTATCCTTGGCCGGTTGGTTTCGTGCAACTGCATTCCATTGGACCAACTAGGCATGAGCATCGTCGAGAAGAGAGTAACGTGGCGTACAGTAGTGTAGTGCTCTCTTTGTTCATGAGTGAAACTGATCGTGACCCAACCTCTCCCCCCGCGTATTTGTGAGCGCTCAAAAAAATAGTACTTGAGTGTTGTCCGTCTCCAGCTGGTCGATCTGCGCCCGAATAAACAAGGATCCAGCAGTTTGTGGTACTTGGTAGCAGCGTGTGCCGCGATGTCAAGTAACCAACATGCTTCGTGCATCTCACCAACAGCCAACCTTATCGGCACGTAAAAAGAACAAATACCGGAGGTGACAGAATAAGACAAAGGGCTGTTATGTTCATTGCATTTGGGTTGTCACGGGTTGGACAGAAATGAAAACAAGCGCTCTGACCGGTGTTCCTCCCGATGATATGCAAATTGTCGTGCTCTTCTTCAAACAGGATTGGTTTGGTAGTTGTTGCGCTACGACGCCGATGGACTAGCAACAACGAAATGCCATGGACGAAGACAACGCTTCGCTCTCTGATATCCGTCCCTACCGGTACCACATGAAACTACCTAAATATTGCCGTTTTGCGGGAGGGGAGGCGAGTGCAAGTTGTCCCAATGACAAGAAAACAAAAGCCAAGTGCATGCCATTGCCCATGAATCACATCCATCCATCGGTGCTTTAAAACAGTTTTGGGATCTGGTGAAGAACTTCCTGCTATCTTCTTAGGAGTCATAAACAACTCGCAGTCGAACGTACATACAATGCCATGATGAGCATCAAAATCCACCCGCCAATAACACGCACAAACATATGTAATACTTTCCGCCGTGAAGGCTGTCGACCGTTGACTTCTTTGACAAAACGTCAACTAAAGAACGTGGCTGTAGTGGCGTTGCCGGCCTAAAAGCAGAACACAAACAAGGAGCGGGAGGTCACGAACTGTGTCCGCCGCAAGCCCATCGTGGACGCTCGGTCGGAGATAGAGCACGAACGTCTTTCACGTTTTGCCAGGAGCACTGACACGCATATGCACACGAATCTGAGGGAAAACAATAAGAGACGGCGGTGTGTCGGAGGAAGGGGGGCCGGGTTGGGGAAGGAGGGGTTACCTTGCACGGGACTGCTGCACCCATCGGGCCAGGCAGATAACAGTTTGGCAATTAAAAGCTTGTCGTCCTGCGAGAGGGACACTGTAGGTTGTGGCCTTCTACTGTAGGTTGTGGCCTTCGGCGTTACTTGGTTCCTTGAAACCAAGTTCCCTTATGTAGGCTTGACACTCCCCGTACTTCAAATAGTTCAACCGTTCTTTGTGCGTTGCCCCCGACCGCGTGCCCCCTTCCCTCAAAGTACCCTCCCCTCTACGAAAGCAAAACCACCCCCCCCCCAAATATATCGAGAGGTTGGAGGTGAAATGACTCTCTGGGTCCCTGGAGAGCAGCTCCCTCGCGGCAGTTGAGTTCTATCTAGCGGTTGAGATTCCTCTCACAGGAGGCGATAAAAGATGCAAAATTGGCACCTGAGCAGGGCGTCAGCCTCGCGCTCAGCTTGTCCGTGTCGGGCACGTTGTTCCTTAGGAACATGTAGTCCGTCTGGTCATCCCACGCTCGCCCGTGGAAGCACAGGACCTCGAAGTTGCAGTCTGTGCATCGCAGTTTGTCGCAAGCCCTGTGTGCACATCATGCAAGACGGACGGTACGCGTCCGTATGTATCAAAAGCAGAGGGAGATGTGTAAATAGCAAACAGGCAGGGGTGTAGTAGCGGATTGGCCAGTTGGCCCTTACGAACTGAATGTGTGCCAACAAATAAATATGGTGATCATGTTGTTCTATATGATGGGCCGCGTTGTCGTTGTAAGGGAAAGTACCGCGTCCTTTATGTTGGACGGGTACTACACCATGTTGTTGTGTGCGACGAATACGTTTCGACCGGAATACCCAGATCGTGGACACACGTTCACCTATATTTACCGCTGTCCCTATCGTTGGCACGCAGTTTTTTTGTGTTTGTTCGATTTTTTTTTATGGGCACGCAACATCGTGGACTCTGTAGTCGGCCTGGGTTTAGGGGGGGAGGGGTGCGCTCCGGAGTATGTCCCACTGAACGTCCTCTGAAGCTCTTGTCACAACACCACTCACGTCGTTCGGTGTGTGTGTCTGTTCTTACCGCTGCGACAACGACGAGGCGCAAAATCCTCGGTCCGTGGCCACCCCTCCCACGAACACCGTCCCACACCTCCGCCTCTTCTTCGTTGGGGGCACCGCTACCGCCGCGGTCGTCGTCCCCCCAGCGCAACGTCCCTCTCCCGGCATCGTGGAGGGCGTGACCATGATGGTGGCAGCGGTTTGTTCTGACGCTATCTCGGTGATTGTCGGGCGTCGTTCCGCTTCTGCGCGATGTCGTTGCGGCGACTCTGGGGTAACTTTATCTTTCACGCTGCGGTCGTCGTTGCCGTTGCTGTAGGTTGTTGTCAGGTCGCTGTTGATGCCGCTGGTTCTCTCTTTGACGTGTTCTGGAGCGGCTGAGAAGACCAAACCTAGCGAGTCATCGACCCCGTCTTGGGAGTCTTCGTCAAAGTCCACACCAACGGTGCTAGCGACGGCCGCCTGCGCTTGCGAAGAATCTGAATCAAAGCCGTCGCCGACCGCGGAAGGAGCTATCGTCACGACTGGGAGGCCTAGATCGCGGTCGTCTCCAGCTGTATCATCAGCAGTGAAAGAAACCGGAGTCGTACCAACCGGGGAAGACTCTGAATCGAAGTCGACGCCGGCTGAAGGGCCAGGGACTGCCGCGGGAAGTGGACGCGGAACTGAATCACGCGTACCGAGGGTACGAGGAGATATTGGATCGACCTCGCGATCTACAGCAGCAGCAGCAGCAGCAGCAGCACCGGGGACCGGTTCTTGTACCGGAGAAAGTTCTGAATCGAAGTCGTCGATGTTCATGACGGAGAAGCTCGTTTGGCCTGCAGTCAGAGGCTGCGGGGATGTCATCGCCGGCGCAGCTGTCGCTGTGATCCCTTGCTCCGACTGTTGCTGAGTCTGTTGCCGAACGAGACGAAGAGAGAAATCCGGCAGGGAGAAACGGTAATGAACGGCGGAGTTTTGTATACTTCGTGGGCTCGAAAGCGATATCTCGTAGAGTAACTGTTGAGAGGAGATACGGCAAAAAAGGTAGTGTCACCGGGGGGGGGAGAATAGGTTGTTTCGGCACCAACGCCTTCTTCACAAATAATGGAGGGGTGATGGGGATGCATGCGTGCTCCACGTAGCGTCATACCTATATTCTTTGGCAAGTATGGAAGCGTGCTACTTTGGAGGGATGTCGCCGTTCAACATCAATCAACTCTAGCCGAACAAACTGCTCTTCTGTCGTAGACCAAATATCGTCAAGATGAAAGTGTTGTCCGCTTGAGGCAGATAACTCACCGTAGCGGGTGCGTATTGGCTTGAGCCCAACGGCTCTGGAGGGTCTTCGCAGAGAAGAGGAGGACAGCACTCGGTTGCGGCACGCGGCGGTTGATTCCGGTCACCTCTGTAACAGACGGCATGTACTATCATGTCATCATGTTTGCTTTCATGACACGAGAAGAACAAAACTTGTTCTTTACGGCCCCGAGCCGGCGTATTGATACGGACCGGGCTGCACACACACGTGAAAACTTCACTATCTAACACATGTTTTACACTGTCTGTAGTTAGAGAAACACGTTCTTCGCGTGACAGATTATCAACGGGATACAAGGTTACAAAGATCTACTGTAGGGTCTGTAATACACATAGTCTACATATTGTCGATCCAGATTCATTCGGGAGGTATAAAGTGTGGTGAGCGAATATCTTGCATCACGCCACGGGATGACACAGAACAGAAACATTCGAAGAGCAATTGAATGCGTGCTGTACCTATGTTCATGTGCATGGGGCGTATCGCATCCTGGCTAGCCACAAGCCAGCAGCAAGTGCACGATATCATGTAGTATGTGCGGCTTTGTACGGCCCAACAAAGTGATACGCGGGGGGGTGACAAAAAACACCGGACAGCAGTGTTTACATGTGGGGAGCATGAGTAACAAGACATCGATTCTACTGCGACGCTTCGAGATGCGTCCTGGTAGCATGACACGATGGGTTATGGCCGCGGCGGCAGGCAAATGTGCGTACTGCTGCGCAAACGGTATACACTTATTACAAGAAGTTTTTAAACAATAAACGTGCGGAACCCCCCTCCTCGTTGAACTTGGAAACAATATGTTCTCACTTTGATGATTTCTGAGGACAAGAACCTTCCTCAAGGGCCCCTTCCACTTCTTCCAGGAGGTCATCTATCGAGAGATCCATTCACGCAAGTATGAGTACGTAAAATGCATTCTATCTGCGGTACTTGTAGCTCGACTTCCACCAAAAACAGCAAGCACAAGAAAGATCTCGATCTTTGTCACACCCCCCCCCCCGGGTTCCGGGAGTCCCATGTGTGTGGCCGCTCTGAAAAGAGATAAATCATGATCGACGACGACGCTCTACGCGCGAGCACTTGCGAGAGAGGAGAGGGAGCTTCCATCTCTACACCTACACTTCTGTTGTGTTCAGGACGCTTTGCGTTGCGCCTGTTCGACGCCTGGGTGATTTGGCTCAAGGTTCCACGCCGTGGATTCAACGCACGAAGAAAGATATGCCTGCATGAAAAGTGTATATCTTGATGCCACGTTCGAAACAATGGTGAGTGACATCTCTTTGTAAGCCGCCGATCACGTGGAGTGTGACGCAATGAGGCACCGAAACACTCAAAAGCTTGTGCACGTAACCACCAATGGCTAATGGACAGCGGGCTTACCCTTGTTGTGTGCTGTTGCCGCCGCCACCCGCAGGAAGACAAACAACTCAGCGTCCGGTTTAGCGGTTCCGTCGACAGCGGCCCACGCAGCAGCAGTAGCGATGACGATGGCGAGAGCGAATGGGAGGCGTTTGATGCCGCTTTCCGAGGCAAAACGGCGTCAATGACAGACCCTGCGGCAACGGCAACGCCAGGACGAGTGACCTTGGCGCGCCGGCCTTTCAAGGAAAATCAGAGAGCAGCCAGCGGAAGAGCGAGGACACACCGTACCGATAGTGCTGCAAGTAGCTCTGCAGAAGACCTGCGCGTTTTGGCTCCAACGAGGGCAGGCCTTCACGGAAGTAACTCTTCGCCAGCAGGGCAGCTTGCACCTGGCTATGACGGCGATAACGATCATGTTGGTACCAGTCAGAGACCTTATCGCCACCACCATGTGGCCGGTAGTGCAACCAGCCATTTGCACGAGAACGACTTCAACAACAAGTATCGCACCCATCACCACCAAACCGGGGCCGTTCTACAACCCGCACGGCGTCTCCCCCTCTATCACCACAACGATGCAACGCAAGCTACCCCGAACAGCAGCTCTCCTTCCGCTCTTAATGATACGTCGCGTGCTTTTGTGTGGTCCGTGCTCTTGCACGGCTGTCTCTGCGAAGCCCCGCTCGCCGTGCTCGAGGGCCTCGCACGAGGCCCGCTGTACCTCGTCGCCGCGGCGTGGGTCGCGCTCGTCGCCTCCGTCGGCGCATCTGGGCACGCCCACCACCACCGTGCCGGGCTCCGGAAGCACGCCGCCGCGCTGGCGCGAGAGGGGCTCCTCCTCCTCGCGGCATCACTCACCCTGGCCGTGCCCTTCGCGACAAGCTTCACGGTCTACGGCGAGGTGGTGGTGGACAGGGCTTTGGACGAGGAGGAGGCGTCGTGGGACGTCCGGCCGGTCCCGACGGTGCTCGGCGCGGTCGACCCCCTACGATTCTGCGTGTTCGCCTTCGGGCAGGCAGGGGAGCTCGCGGCCAACGGCCGGCCGGAGCCCTTGCAACAACCGTTTTCTGAGCTTACCGGTGGTGGTTACGGCCTACGCACTACCGGTCCGGGTGGTTACGCGGAGGGTTTTAGACCGGCCAACTACGACGACGGCGACGGCGGCGGCAGGTCGAACAAGCCGCCTTCCATCCTTTACGTTGGAGCCATCGCGGCGCAATCGATGGACGCCGATCGGATGGGAGTGGGGATACTACATCCCCCCGAGGAGCTCGGGCTAAGGCTCCGCCAGGCGGCCGCCCAGGGGAAACGGGCCGTCGTGTCGGCCTACCGGCGTCTCGCGTACAGCGCGACAGCGACCTATCATCGGCGACTTCCGACGTTAAGCAGCACCGCTGTGACAAGGCTGGGTAATATGTCGTCGGGGTAAAATGGCGCGAGGTGGCGGTTGTCTGCTATAGAGAGGATATTTTGACGAAGGGTTAAAAGCTCGTTGTTCTTCGTGTAGCACACCGACTGCTGATCGATTCATGTTGCCGACGACGGCCGCCCTGATCCGGTTTTGGTGGCATGTTGTGTAATTAACCCCGTCTGGGACCCAACAACGCCGCCAGTGCAAACGGCTTCCCGTGCTAACTCACGAGTCCCGAGTTCTAATTAGCACTCGCTGCTTCATGCAGTAGGCGCTAGAATGCTTCGTTCCTTGGCTATGTACGCTTAAAAAAACTACAGAAACGCTAACATGCTATTTTCAAATCATCACACAACGCACTATTCTACACTAATCCTCGCTTGCAAACAAAGCGTTCCCCGGTGGACCCCGAGCGTGACTGCCCTCTAACTTACAATTTGCACTGTCGTCACGAGGCGTGATCGCCTCGTGGAACGGCAACCCTCTAACCAGCCCCGCCCCAGTCGCTCTTTTCGATGCCCATCTATCACCAAAAGTGTTGCGCTGACGGTAGAGTACCGTGGTACCAGAATGCCCTGCCACATGGACCAAGGAACGGGCAGCCCGATGTCTGCAGCCCCCCGACCCCCGGAACCAAAACAAGGGCCATGCTCATACACCCTCAATCTTCACACGATGCGGCTGCAGCGACGTCCATCCAAAAACTTTGTCAGTACAGCAGTAGAGGTCCCTGTGCAGAAAATTCAACGGCACTAATCAAAGCATTGATAATTATTTGGAAATTCAGAGTGTGCCCGCCGAAAACACCGGCACTATTGAGGGGCACCGGCACTATTCAACCGGCACTAAACAGGGACCTCTACTGCAGTATCATCCACGCTCTCGATGGAACGATAGACTCCGTAGGTACGTCCAAAACTCATCACGGTTACAAGGACTCCTCCATTCCCCGCTGGGGACCTACCTCGTAAAAAACTCAAGGGTGTGGTAAGCCAGGCTTCCTTCCGCCGTGAGACCCATCCGGCTTCCTCTTTTGGTTTACACGTGTGTTCGACGACCTAGAACGTCACGACACACCAGTGGTCTCCACAAAACAATTTGCCGATCATTCCATCAACCAATAGATCGATCGACCAAGAACAACAAACGCTTCCTCCCCGCTCAGCTGCGCCGCTTCTGCGAGAGAGTCCTCCATTTTTGCCTGAGAGCGTTTGCCGGCATGCCCTCGAAGTCGAACTCGGGATCCTCCTCCATCTCCTTCCACTTGCCAGCGCCCATCTGCTTACGAAAAAAAACAAAAAACGCCGCGACGAAGGAAAGCGTTGAACATGGCACAAAAATAAAACGTGTTTCTCTTACAAGCAAGGACATTATATTTGTTGAACATGGCGCAAAAGAAAAGGAGCTTTTTCTTCAAAAAACAACAAGAGATTGTATCGCGATAACAGAATGAAGAGGCAGCACACGAAGAGCAAAAGAAGCTCTCCAAAAATAATTTGGAGGCATGTATGTACGTATGTACGTTCATGTTTTCCTCGAGCGTGTTCTCTGTTCTTGTCAACGTTTGGCCTTGCTAACAAGGAATGGCGCCGGAGGCGGCGGCTATACTTCACCTTCTTGACCGCGGTGGCGAGCAGGGCCTCCATACTTGACGACCACGCTCGCCTTGGTTTCTTCGCCCCGCCCCCCTCTTCCCCGCCCCGGTCCGCGCCACCGCCACCGCCACCAGCATCCTCTCGAGAGGGAACCTTCCTCTTTCTTGATGCTGCTGCTGCTGCTGCTGCTGCTGCGGTCTTCTTGCTTCCACCTTCCTTGCCGCCGCCCTTGTTCTTGACCGCTGTGGACTTGGAGCCTCCCGCGCCGGGACCCCCATGTTTTCGTTTCTTGGTGACACAGCGGGGGCACACCCACTGAGTATACCGTTTCGTGGGGAGCAACGGGAGGGCGGGGGGGGTAGGTTAGGAGAGACCTCGCGAGACAGTTCCGAGCAATTGAAGGCACAAACAAACGGTGCCATAGTAGCGTCGTTGTCTTCTTCCGAGCTCGGAAGAAGACTTGAATGACAGGGGTGCGACAAGAGATGTGGGAGATTGCCGTGATGTGATTCAGGCACCAAAAAGCCGACGATAAAATAAAGCGAAACGCACAACCAGCTGCCAAGTACGGATGGCTAAAGAGGCTTTTGAGACGAGTACACGGTGAAGAGAAGGGGAGGGCACGGAGAGGGGGGGGTGTCAAAGACATGTTGCTCATAAGGATTGAATCTTCAGTAGCCAACCCCCGAGAGACGAAAGAGGTACTTCTGAGTAACAGATTGCCGATCGGGATAAACCACGATGACGCACGATGACTCCTTCTCAGCTTTTTCGCATCGTCACAAAATGGGGAACAACCATAATGAAGCACCACCACCACCACCACCAACAACAACAACAACAACACAACGACAACGACAACGACAACAACAAAAACAAGCAAACGACAACATACCAATGATGAAAACGCCACCGAATCATACGCGAAGCGCTCACCTCGCCCTCGGCGGGCATGGATTCCAGGGGCTTCGGGAGGCACTCGTTGTGGTATATCCCCATTCCGCTGCCCCCCCCGGAGCAATTGGAGCACCGGAGGATCCTGTCCGGATCGCGCACCTCGCAGCAGACGAGGCAAATATCCTCCTCCTCCTCCTCTTCGGTCCCGTCCGCCTCCTGTGGGGTACGGTAGCACAAAACACACGACACACCCGTAAGGAGGATAAGATAATCAGTCTTGCGTACCAGCTGATGGAATGGACATAGTGCAAAAGCTATAGCGCTACAGAAATCGCGAGTCAGCGTTTTTCACTTGGGATCTGGGGTTAGAGGGGTGGTCTCCGCTTCCTTTCGGTGATTTTGTAAACCACATTTGTTGTGTTGTTTTGCTGTAGGTGTGTTTCGCAAGCGGCGGGATTTCCCCTTTCCTTGTGCCTCTCTTCTCTTATGAATGACTAAACTATTGGCTTGTGACCAAGGAGACTCATTTCTTCGCGTCTCGAAAAGACTTGACAGAACGGAAGAGGAAGAACTGGCTGGAAAGAGATATTGTTTTGATTATCGCACCACCACCACCACCAACAGCGACAGCAAGTTCAACAATCAATGTGTACACGCCGACGACAACAAAACAATACCGAAAACAACAACACAGCAGCAACAACAACCTCCAGAGCAGGGGGGGAAGTGTCATATATCCTGACAGCAGTGGGGCCGGAAACAAAGCCCTTGTCACGCAACATGTAAAAAGAGAGGAAGGTAGAGAGGGAGATGCCGACGAACGTGAACGAAAAGGAACAGCTGCCGCCGGGGATTCCTTGTTGCCGTTCCGCGACAGCAACACCCGTCCACAACAAAAACTCGGCGGAAAAACCGCCACCGAGAATGGCGAGGGAACACACGAACCACCAGCAGGAGAACGCGGAGGAGAGGTTCGCTACAACAGCGGCAGCGGCTCCCCTACCGGCCTCACTTCTCCCTCACTCACCGCATCAGAGCCGCCATCATCGCCACGCCGGGCAGCCGTAGCCTCGGGGCCGTCCGACTCTGTCTCTTCTCCCGACTCGTTCGCGTCCACCACACCGTTAGCGTTGTTAGCCGGTTCCTCCTACAGTCCACGTCCCGTTCGTTCAGCAGAGGAGCAACGAAACAGGCAGTCGTCGGTGGCGTAAAAAAGTCGGAAAAGCAGAGGATCAACAGCAGCAAAAGAACAGCCAGTCAGTCGCCCGGTGGCGTCAGAGAGTTGGAGCAGCTTAGAGCAACAGCAGCAAAACAAACACACACACACACACACAGTCGTCCGGTGGCGTCAAAAGTTGGAGCAAGTGGAGATGTGGTAGGCGGTACGGCGGCGTGCCTTCGGCAGTTTTTGTCTACGGGTCTCTGCCTGCCATGTCTCTGTCTCTGTGTCTGTCTCTCCGTGAGCCTTTGCCTAAGTCTGCCTCTCTGCCTGTCTCTTGTCTCTGTATCTCTATCTCCCTCCGGCCCTCTCACGTTGTCCTCAGAAGACTCCTCCAGCACCGCCAACGCCGCAAGCCGCATCTCCTGCTGCTCTCTCTCCTTCCGCGCCTCCTCCTCTTTTGCTGCTGCTGCTGCTGTTGCTGCTGCTGCTGCTGCAGAAGCACCTTTGGCGGTCGCCTTCGAGGCAGAGGAGCCTTTGCCCTTCCTTGCTGCTCCTGTCGTGCTAGCGCTGGCGGGCACGTCGTCGTCGCCGCTGGCGTCGAGGACCTTTTTCACGCACTTGGGACACAGCCACTTTTCGGTCCAATTCATGTCAGTGTGAGTGTGCAACGTTAGTTCGGCGCGAGCGTGCGCACGCGGCGAGGGGGGGGGGGGGGGGGGGGG